CCTACACGTGCCTTCACTTTACCTGGACAGTATATTTGCATACACCCAGAGTATTCCATAGCTTGATGGTTTTATCTCGGGAGCCAGAGACAATTTGCCGGTTGTCAGAAGAGAAGGCCACACTCAGCACATCCTTGGTATGGCCTACAAATCGGCGCGTGGTGGTGCCCCTGAGAGGAAGGACGTGGTTACTCTCTAGACTGACTCTGCAAACATTTTTACACAGTCAGACTGTTTCCCTGGCCTGGTTCCTCTCCCAGTGGAGCGGCATCACTCACAACCCTGGACATGGCTTTGATAACAGCAGGCCCCTGGCTGAGAATATGCTGGAGAATCCCTTCAGAATTGCAGGACATGTCCTCACTCCCATGTGGGGATTGGCTGACAATGTCACCTCTCATCACCAGGATCCCCCGTTATGCCTGACCATCCAAAGACTGAGCTACCAGCACACAACACAGTCAAACTTTGCCTACTCCCAAGTGCAATATCTGATAAAACTGCTCAGCCAGACCACTCCTCAGCAATTCTGTAGAACATTAAAAACAAGGAGGGTGGCCAAACAACCACAACTATCTTCTCCAGGTATTCTCTGCCTTATAGTTCCTACAATGAACCCAATCACCCCTGGGAAACCACTTCCAGATATTATCTACCCAGCTTTCCCCCAGTGCCCCAGAGCAGCTACTTGCGTTGTGAGATCCCAGAGGCGAAGGGTTCCATCCCAGGAGCCTGAGAGGGCAAACTGGCCATCCGAGGAGATGACCACGTCACTAACAAAGTGGGAGTGACCCCGAAGAGCACGCTGTGGGATACCGTAGTTGGTCTCATCTCTGGTCAGCTTCCACATGATGATGGTCTTGTCTAAGGGCAGGTAAAACAAAAGAAAACCTAGTGAGAAACCCCACAGCCCACCCTCTGACCTACTGGATAATGCCTCAAGCTGACTGGTGGGCTCACAAGATAAATTAAGGGCATTTAGGGGGTAGGGGAACTACGGGCTATGAGTGCAGTTACTAGTCAAATCCAAGTGACTCTCTATTCAAGAGTCAAGTAGAGCTAAGTGGTACCCTGAGAATTTAACTCAGGTGTGAGGAACTTTACCAGGTTATGGATGCCCCTTTTGGAGATTCAGACCAATTCAAGGTCTATTTTAAGTATTTTCTGAGGTCTAATGCATGAACACAGCAGCCTGGGTGTGGGAAGACTAGCTGTGGGCCTCCAGAGACTACTGTTGAGGGCTGCAAGAAGTGCTGGAATTAGAAGTCACTTTAGGCGCTACAGGACTGCGTGCTTTCCCTGCAACGTGTTCCACTCAACAAGCTTTCTTATTAAGTGCCAGACATGATCCTAGCCTTAGATGATCCATTTTTAAATAGCGTGGGCGCAAACACAAGGCCCAAGAAGTCTCCAAAGGAAACCAGGTACACAGTGAATAAGAAAAACCCAGAGCAGAATGGGCAGACCCGGGTTAGCCGTGAGACTGGTGTCACGAGGTTCTCCGTGGAGTCCCCCCAGTTCCCACCGAGTAGACAGCCGGGCGGCAGCTCAGAAACAGCCTCTGGGTTTCAGCATGGGCACTCAGATGGCATGTTGGGGTCATCACCGCGCCGCCCGACCCGTAGGCTCC